GATTATTAAGGATAATGGTCGTGGATTTTTAAAGAATTTTTTTCGCAAGGATTATTAAGGATAATAGGCGTTGATTTTGAAAGAATTTTTTCCCAAGGATTATTAAGGATCATAGGCGTGGATTTTGAAAGAATTTTTTCCCAAGGATTATAAAGGATAATAGGCGTGGATTTTGAAAGAATTTTTTCCCAAGGATTATTAAGGATAATAGGCGTGGATTTTGAAAGAATTTTTTCCCAAGGATTATTAAGGATAATAGGCGTGGATTTTGAAAGAATTTTTTCCCAAGGATTATTAAGGATAATAGGCGTTGATTTTGAAAGAATTTTTTCCCAAGGATTATTAAGGATAATAGGCGTGGATTTTTTAAAGAATTTTTTCCCAAGGATTATTAAGGATAATAGGCGTGGATTTTTTAAAGAATTTTTTCCCAAGGATTATTAAGGATAATAGGCGTGGATTTTGAAAGAATTTTTTTCGCAAGGATTATTAAGGATAATTGGCGTGGATTTTTAAAGAATGTTTTTTCGCAAGGATTATTAAGGAACCAAAGGATTACCAGTGAAACAAAACCAAACATTTTTTTGTATATATAACACCTCTTGTTTAAAACTTTTGTATTCGCCGAAACAAATTACGATTTTGTTTTGTACTTAGGCAATTGGTAAATTTGTTTATGATAGCCCCACCTAGCGGTGATTAGCAAAACCAAAAACATAAAATGTTCCCGTGCTCCTAAAACTATGCAACAATGTTGCATTACTTAATTATTAAACGTGATATATGAAAAAATGTAGCATGTTATAATTGTGACTTTTATGTATCATGCTATAAATTTAATGATAGGCTCGAAATAAAAAAATAGCGCATACATTGCTGTAACTCCAAGGTCATGGAGGGGAAATAAATAATGCAGAAAAGGTTAATGTTTTAATATAATCTCCATATAAAAGTGTCGTACCATTTTATATATTTCTATTGTCATAGCAGCATTTTCCATCCAAAGTGTTTATAATTTTTTTTATTTTATAATTTTTTTTATAAAGGTCTATTTTTAAATGTGTGTTCTTTTTGGGTACCAAATGTTCATGCAAAATTTTATGTATGTAGGTCCACGTTTACTGGTAGCCCCCATACAAAGGTACCCCTATTTTGAGTATTTACCCAAAAATTTGGGTATAAACTCATTAACTGTCGAACCACTTGACATAGGCGGCCAAAATTTTGCATGTATGTTTTTAATGTCAAAGCAAATATAGAAATCCAAAATGGGGTCCCTGGGTCCATGTTTTGAAATAGCCCCCATATAGCCGTATCTCCCGATTTAAGGTATTTTTTTTGGCATTTAGATACATTTTACGACCACATTGGCTGTAATTTGGCAAAGAGTTTTCTTTCATAATTTTTTGAAATTTTTGAGGTTTTGAGAAATTCAACTATTTCGATTTTTTCGTCTTTTCAAATACGTGAAATGTGATTTTTTTAATCTAAGTTTTTAAAATTAAGTTTACCGATCCTATAATAAAGCGTGGATTTTTTAAAGAATATTCTCAAAGGTCCATTAGAGCCACAAAGCGTGAGTGTTTTAAAGAATATTCTCAAAGGTCCATTAGAGCCACAAAGCGTGAGTGTTTTAAAAAATATTCTCAAAGCTCCATTAGAGCCACAAAGCCATTCTTTTTTAAAGAACATTTTTAGGGATTTATAACGGATATAAACCGTGGATTTTTTACAGAATATTTTTAGGATTTATAAGGCTTACAAAGCGTGGATTTTTTAAAGAATATTTTTAGGATTTATAAGGCTTAGACAGAGAGGATATATAATAGTATAATATAGAGTCAGAAGAGTGAGTTTTTAAATAATTTTTGGAGGACCATTAGAGTCACAAGGCGTAGAGTTTTTAAATACATTTTGGAGGACCATTAGAGTCACAAGGCGTAGAGCTTTTAAATAATTTTTTGGAGGACCATTAGAGTCACAAGGCGCAGATATCTTAAAGTTTTTTTGGAGGACCATTAGAGCCACAAGGCGTAGATTTCTTAAAGATTTTTTTGGTGGACCATTAGAGCCACAAGGATGTTTTTAAAGGATGTTTTTAGGATTTAAAGAGATTACAAAGCGTGGATTTTTTAAAGAATATTTTTGAGATTTAAAGAGGTTACAAAGCGTGGATTTTTTACAAGAATATTTTTAGGATTTGTGAGGTTTTGATTTATAAGGCTTATAAAGCGTAGATTTTTTTAGAAATTTGTAAGAAACCATTAGAGTGGATATTTTTATTAAAGCGTTAATTATTTTAGTAGTGTTGGCGGGTTATTTGGGATACCATTTGTATTTTGTTTTTGCAAAATAGTCAGGCTTAATCCCAGTTTGTTGTTTTTATAAAAAACAACTATTTATTAGTGGGGAATGTATGGCATTATCCGCCGAGGGGTAAGGCGGGGAAGACTATAGTTTCGGATCTCGCCACTGATCCTCATCAGTTCCCTTAGTTTTTTGTTGGGATATTATAGTCTTCCCTGCCTTACCCCTCGGCGGACAATGCCATACATTCCCCACTAATAAATAGTTGTTTTTTATAAAAAAAACAAACTGGGATTAAGCCTGACTATTTTGCAAAAACAAAATACAAATGGTATCCCAAATAACCCGCCAACACTACTGAAGATGTAGACGAGGCACGGTAATACTGTTTGGTTTACTGCTTTAACTAGCAATACCAACAACAACGTTATGTGCATTCGTCACAAAGTGACGACACATAGCAGTGGGAAATGTATTGTAATTGTCTGTAAATGCCTTGTTAACCACGAAGTCAGGCGCCAACGAAACGAACTTCTCATTGGGGTCGTATCGCTGGTAACGTAAGAACTTCTATTTGTCACAAGAGACATTTGGGTTTGAAAGGTTTTTTGTAAAGAAGCTATTAAAAGCTTCTGGGGAGAATATCAAAAAAAAAAAAAAAAAAACTAAGGGAACTGATGAGGATCAGTGGCGAGATCCGAAACTATAGTCTTCCCTGCCTTACCCCTCGGCGGACAATGCCATACATTCCCCACTAATAAATAGTTGTTTTTTATAAAAACAACAAACTGTTAATTATTTTATTAAAGCGTTAATTATTATTTAAGGAACTCGGAGAGCCACATTGGGGTTTTAAAGGTAAAGGAACTATGAGACGATGGTTAAGTTTGGGTACAGCCCAATGTTAGGGTTTTATAACATATCGATTTCTATATAATTTTACAGTTTCAAATGTGTTAACAGCTAATGTGTGTCATGCCATTGCCAGATGCAAAACATATCAGTACGATAAAGAACAACTGTGAATTGATTTAAAAAATTAAATAGCGGTAAACAATTATTTATTAATATTTATTAATTAAACATTTCTTCAGAACATAATATAATACATTTTTTTTAATATATCAAACAAATATAAACCAATTATCAGTTTTATTAAAGTTATGACAATTATCCTTAAAAACATATGATCTCCAACCCTTATTGAACAACCCTGAAATGAAATAACAGCTGTGCTGTTAAACGTTCTATTGCTTATGGCTGTAGGTTAACAGCTTTGCACTGTTGCTATTTGTACAAGAAGTGGTGGATATTCTTGCAGTACGTGAGTGTAAGTACGTCTGTGAGTGTCTGTGTACTAGAGAAAGTGTTCATCCAAAGTTCTAAAGGGAAAAAAGTGTAAGTGAAAAGAAATCAAGTGAAAAAATAAAAAAAATAATAAAAATACTTAAGGAAATGAAATAATTTTTATAAAAATTAAATATTTGGATTGAGAAGAAATGGAAAACGGTGAAGATTGAATGCATTCTGTAAAATAACAATGAATTTTTGGGCAAATAAAAATCGAAAAAAGGACAAAGGCAATTGTTCTTTGTGAAAATTCCGATAGAGAATTTTTTCGCCTACTATAAAAATGAAAAATTCAATAACAAGGGAAAAATTTTAATGAAAATAAAATTTCCATTACTTACAAAATAAATGTATTGAAAATAGTTTATCGATTTTCCATTCTTTTAATGCCACTTAGTGCTAAAATGTCAGAGGATTCCCTTTGAAAAAATATCCTGCGGAAAAAAGGTCTATACAAGTGTGGTAGTGAAATACTCGCCCCCCTCTCTCACATCGCTGTATGTATCTCGCCCACTCTATTTATTATTCATGTTAAGACAGTTGCAGCAGAAGAAGCAGAAGCAGAGCTATGGCAGCTGTTGAACATACCTTTCACGGTACATGGGAGGTGAGTTTCGATGTTTTCAAAACAATGAAAACAAAAACACAACAGAACAGAACAATGTTTTGTTCCTTGGCAGAAGGGAATAAAACAAAAAAAGCAAAACAAACAAAGTGTAAAATATATCGAAAAGAAGAATTATTTCAATGTATGTGTGTCTCTGTGTGTTTCAGATTGTTTCCTGTACATTCGAAGGCAAAAAAGAAATATCCGGTTTAGAAGGGTATGTTGTGATATTGATATTTAATTCTCTGTGTGAATGTATGTGTGTGTGAGTGTAAAATAATCAATATTTATTTTTTTCTTTGATAGGATAAAATTCCGTTTGGATGATACCAGTGATATAACGTGGTATAATGATTTGGTTAGCCCCTTACCGGAATCGAAAGACTGCGGCAGTTGTTGTGATTCGGCCAGTGTTTTGTTTAGCTGTGAAACATTTGAGGTCAATGAGCAGAATCCCCGGTTGATATTTGGTGCTTTTGCCGGTCATAGTATTGAGTTTAATGTAAGTTTTAGAAATCAATCAGTACAACAAGGACAGTATTTTCAAGGGCTCAGTATCAAAAATTCTGGGACTAAGATGGTCACAAGTCGTGTATTTTTAAGAATATATTTAGGGACCAAGGCGGCCGCAAAACGTAGATTTTTTAAAGAATTTTTTCGAGGACCATTAGAGCCACAAGGCGTCGATTTTCTAAAGAATTCTATGGAGGACCATTAGAGCCACAAGGCGTAGATTTTTTAAAGAATTTTTTGGAGGACCATTAGAGCCATAAGGCGTAGATTTTTTAAAGAATTTTATGGAGGACCATTAGAGCCATAAGGCGTAGATTTTTTAAAGAATTTTTTGGAGGACCATTAGAGCCACAAGGCGTAGATTTTTTAAACGAATTTTTTGGAGGACCATCAGAACCATAAGGAGTAGATTTTTTAAAGAACTTTTTGGAGGACCATTAGAGCCACAAGACGTAGATTTTTTAAAGAACTTTTTGGAGGACCATTAGAGCCACAAGACGTAGATTTTTTAAAGAACTTTTTGGAGGACCATTAAAGCCACAAGGCGTTGATTTTTTAAAGAATTTTTTGCAGGACCATTAGAGCCACAAGGCGCAGATTTTTTAAAGAATTTTTTGCAGGGCCATTAGAGCCACAAGACGTAGATTTTTCAAATAATTTTTTTGGAGGACCATTAGAGCCACAAGGCGTTGATTTTTTAAAGAATTTTTTGCAGGACCATTAGAACCACAAGGCGTAGATTTTTTAAAGAATTTTTTGCAGGACCATTAGAGCCACAAGGCGCAGATTTTTTAAAGAATTTTTTGCAGGACCATTAGAGCCACAAGTTGTAGACTTTTTAATGAATTTTTTTGGAGGACCATTAGAGCCAGAAGGAGTAGATTTTTTAAAGAATTTTTTTGGAAGACCATTAGTGCCACAAGGCGTAGATTTTTTAAAGAAATTTTTGGTGGATCATTAGAGCCACAAGGCGTAGATTTTTTAACAATTTTATGGAGAACCATTAGAGCTACAAGGCGACTTTTTAAAGAATTTTTGGAGGACCATTAGACCCACAAGGCGACTTTTTAAAGAATATTTTTAGCGACCAAGACGACCAATATAGCCACAAAGCGTAGATCTTTTAAAGAATTTTTTGGAGGACCATTAGAGCTCCAGGGCGTTGATTTTTAAAGAATTTTTTGGAGGACCATTAGAGCTCCAGGGTGTAGATTTTTAAATAATTTTTTGGAGGACCATTAGAGCTCCAGGGTGTAGATTTTTAAATAATTTTTTGGAGGACCATTAGAGCCACAAGGCGAAGAGTTGTTAAATATTTTTTTGGAGGACCATTAGAGTCACAAGGCGTAGAGTTTTTAAATAATTTTTTGGAGGACCATTAGAGCCACAAGGCGCAGTTTTTTTAAAGAATTTTTTGGAGGACCATTAGAGCCACAAGGCGCAGTTTTTTTAAAGAATTTTTTGGAGGACCATTAGAGCCACAAGGCGTAGAGTTTTTAAATAATTTTTTGGAGGACCATTAGAGTCACAAGGCGTAGATTTTTTAAGCAAATTTTTTGGAGGACCATTAGGTTCACAAGGCGTAGATTTTTTAATCAATTTTTTTGGAGGACCATTAGAGTCACAATGCGTAGATTTTTTAAAGAATTTTTGGAGGAGTCATTTTTAGGAGGACCATTCGAGCCACAAGGCGTAGATTTTTTGGAGGATCTTTTTTTAAAGGAATTTGTTTCCGGACTATTAAAGACAAATTATTAATTTAATTTATTATTTTAGACGACAACTCTATGTCCCTCGGATACCCTGATTCTCTACTGTGAAAATTGGTATGCCGTGGAATGTAAGCGTTTAAAAGAAGGTCAAGCTGCGGGTCAAGAAAAGGAATTTTCATTTGGCGAAGCACTACAAGAATCCTATTTTACCGATGTCATAATCAAAAGTTCAGATGGATGTGAAGTAAGTCCCCCATAAATTTCCCGATATCAGTAGGTTTCAATTAAATTCCTTTAATCCCCATTGCAGTACCATGTCCACGCAGCCATTTTACGCCTGAACGGCTTCGATTGCAGTATGTGTGTCCATCATAATAGCACCATATCCATACCTCAGGCTGTGTGTCGTACCCAAGATAGTTTAATGCCGAAAGAAAATGCCAGCCTTCCAAATTCGCCAAATACCATTAAAATATCCGTTACTTTACCTAGCACGGGCAGCAATCAAAACGCATCATCATCGTTGGATGATCATCAGAAATCTTTACCCCGCCTCAATTTATCACCCATCTATTTGCAACCACCCACAGAGTATAGTGTCAATAGTAGTACAACAACAACTGGAATTAAATCGCAGCAACAACAACATCATCACCACCAACATCTCTCATCCTCATTTAATTGCCTATCCACAACGACTACGAATAAATCTCAACAGAATGGTAGTAGTCAAAATCTCTTAAATATCGATGGTGGTAATGGTATGCGTCGTTTTCCACCCACCTCACATTCCGACTCACATCTGGAAGCGCATAAACTCCAACCACAACCGAAAAATATATTCAACTTCTGTCAAGATCTGATGATGCAACAAACTTCGGAGGTGTGCAGCACGAGTGGTTGTAATACACGAAGACCACCATTATCACCATTTCGTGCACGTAGCCCATCACCTTTTCCCAGTTCTATGGATACACCACCCTCTTCGCCTTTAACTCCCGTCGCAGTACTCTATGACTTGCCGGCATTTCTGCTGACACCGATTTTACATTGGCTCTACACGGAATCACTGATGCCCGATATGAGCGAAGATGTTTGCGAGAAACTTATCAATTTCGCTGAAGCCCAACCATCGCTAATGAAGTTGGCCGAACCGGCTAAGAAATATTTGAAAATGATCAAGCTGAAGAAGTGTAAGACCGAATGGGACAGTATTGTAATTAGTAGGGAAATTATTTTTGTGCATCTTTCGTTTCAGTTGTGGTCAATATCATCATGGATCTGCATAGCATCTTAAATCGTGTCATACAAACCATAAATCCTGTAACAATATCACATGAACCCGCCTTACTTTATGCCACATTTAAGGATAGTTTAAGAGAATGCTCTATAGGTGAGTTATTTCATTATATTTGATCTTGATGGTAGGAGGTGAATGGCACTGATCTCGAAACTATTATTTCGACCTTGAGAAAGGCAAGAAGTGATTTTTTTAAAAATATTTCTGGGAACTATAAAGGCAAGAGAACGTGTAGTTTTAACTGAATATTTTTAGGAACTTTATGGACCACAAGGTGTGGATTTTTTTAAGCAATATTTTTATGAACTGTAAGGACCACAAAGCGAGTACAGTTTTTAAAGAATATTTTTAGGAACTTTTGAACTACAAGCAGGAACCAAGAGAGCCACGAGGCACAGATTTTTTAAAGAATATTTTGAGCAACCAAGATTGCCACACGGCGAGGATTTTTTAAAGAATATGTTTTCAGGAGAGGTTTTTTTAATAAATATTTTTTAAAAAATATTGTGAGGAATCAAAAGGGCCACAAGGCGTGGATTTTTTAAATAATATTTTTCCAGGACCACTAGAGGCACAAGGCGAGGATTTTTTTTAAATATTTTTGAAGGACCACTAGAGCCACAAGGCGTGGATTTTTTAAAAGAAATATTTTTGAAGGACCACTAGAGCCTTAAGGCGTGGATTTTTTAAATAATATTTTTCCAGGACCACTAGAGGCACAAGGCGAGGATTTTTTTTAAATATTTTTGAAGGACCACTAGAGCCACAAGGCGTGGATTTTTTAAAAGAAATATTTTTGAAGGACCACTAGAGCCTTAAGGCGTGGATTTTTTAAGTAATATTTTTCCAGGACCACTAGAGACACATGGCGTGGATTTTTTTTTTTAAAACATATTTTTAGAAGGACAACTAGAGCCACAAGGCGTGGATTTTTTTTAATATTTTTAGAAGGACAACTAGAAAAATATTTTTGAAGGACCACTAGAGCTACAAGGCGTGGATTTTTTAAAAAATATTTTTGAAGGACCACTAGGACCGCCCGTCCGTCCATGTATTTTTGTTAACAAAGTACTGGTCGCATTTGTGATCCGATTTGGATGAAATTTGGCATAGGTCACTTATTTGGCCAAAGGACGAACCCTATTGAAATTGGGAAAAATCGGTTCAGATTTAGATATAACTCCCATATATATTTTCGTCCGATTTAATGTAAATGGTGCACAAAAGACCCTATATATATAGATGTATGTTAAGTTTCCTGAAAATCGGTTCAGATTTAGATATAGCTACCATATATAGCTTCGCCCGATTTTAGGTAAATAGTCCACTAAAGTCCCTGGAAATCTTTTGATTTGCACCAATTTTGGCATAGTGTACTGTATTAAGTCTAGAATGATGTGTGAACAGTTTGGAAAAACTCGGTTCAGATTTAGATATAGCTCCCATATATAGCTTCGCCCGATTTTAGGTAAATAGTCCACTAAAGTCCTTGGAAATCTTTTGACTTGGACGAAATTTGGCACAGCGTAATGAATAAGGTCTAGAATGATGTTTGCCAAGTTTCGTGAAAATCGGTTCTGATTTAGATATAGCTCCCATATATATCTTTGTCCGATTTAAGGTTAATTGTGTACCAAAGTCCCTATATACCTTTCGATTGGCATGAAATTTGGCACAGCGTACTAAATTAAGTATAGAATGATGTGAGAAAAGTTTTGTGAAAATCGGTTCAGATTTAGATATAGCTCCCATATATAGCTTCGCCGATTTTAGGTAAATAGTCCACTAAAGTTCCTAGAAATCTTTTGATGTGCACGAAATTTGGCACAGAGATCGAGAATGATGTCTGCCAAGTTTTGTGAAAATCGGTTCAGATTTAGATATAGCTCTCATATGTATTTTCATCCGATTTAAGGTAATTGGTGCACCAAAGACCCTATATATCTTTCGATTTGCACGAATTTTGGTATAGGGTACTGAATTAAGTCTAGAATGACTTAATTCAGTACCCTATACCAAATCCACGCCTCAGTTGGCCCTTGAAAAATATTCTTTAATAAATCCACGCCTCAGTTGGCCCTTGAAAAATATTCTTTAATAAATCCACGCCTCAGTTGGCCCTTGAAAAATATTCTTTAATAAATCCACGCCTCAGTTGGCCCTTGAAAAATATTCTTTAATAAATCCACGCCTCAGTTGGCCCTTGAAAAATATTCTTTAATAAATCCACGCCTCAGTTGGCCCTTGAAAAATATTCTTTAATAAATCCACGCCTCAGTTGGCCCTTGAAAAATATTCTTTAATAAATCCACGCCTCAGTTGGCCCTTGAAAAATATTCTTTAATAAATCCACGCCTCAGTTGGCCCTTGAAAAATATTCTTTAATAAATCCACGCCTCAGTTGGCCCTTGAAAAATATTCTTTAATAAATCCACGCCTCAGTTGGCCCTTGAAAAATATTCTTTAATAAATCCACGCCTCAGTTGGCCCTTGAAAAATATTCTTTAATAAATCCACGCCTCAGTTGGCCGTGAAAAGATCCATAGCTAGGTCGATTGACACAACGTACTGATGTCATATATAAATTAGTCTCTGGCATATTTTTTAAGAAGCACTAGAGCCCCAAGGTGTGAGAGTTTTAACAAATATTGTTTAAGGGGACCCTCTTTCCAATTCTCGGTTTCAGCGCTACCTTCCGATTTTCGTATTTTCAGATTTGTGTACTAAATTATATTTTAATATATATTTTCCTAATATTATATTCTTCCTTCCTTTTCTAGGATGTGCCAAAATTTTACAATTTTGCAATATATTTATTAAGGATGCCGCCGACATAGCCCGCTATCAAAAGAATGAAATTATCAAATATGTACGGACACGAATACCGATATTTATGTCACAACTGCATCAGCTGTTGCGTAACATTTTGAATGTATTTTTAAGTCTAACGCCTGATGAAAAAGATGAATTAGCTAATTACTTAGTACCTGAGGTAAGAAGAAAATGATGGATATAAATTGCTTTCAAACAGCAGAATATTAAAGCAGAAGCAAACACTACTCCTGCTCCGAAATTTTTTTAATCAAACTTCAAATTTTAATATTTTTTAAATATTTCTACCCTTTTCAGATTGAAAAAACTTTATTGATTTTAACTAGTGTGATAGAAGAAATCAAAAATTCTTTAGAGAAAATGTGTAAAGTAAGTAACCTTTGCTTTTACTCATAATTGCTTCCAATTATACCTTTAACCTTAACATTTTAACATTTGCAGGACCTAAAATGCTCACATTTAGATTTATCGATGAAATATGCCACAGATGATGCTGTTGCTATGCAAATACAAAATAATACCTTTATAACGGCAAATAATCCTATGGATGAGACTTCGACGGTCACAACACTGTTTAGTCAGCCACCATTGTCGCCCAGGCCACGCAGAGGACCACCTATAGGTTTGACATTGTATGACAACCCAACGGATAAGCAACGTTTAATGAGTGCCGAAAATGATTTGAAATTTGTTCTCTATATGTATGAAGTGCGTAAGATGCGCGATATTTATGGACGAATATCGGCGGCCTTGGATATAATACGGGATAAGAAGTATGCGACAATTTTCGGTTTGATGAATAGGAAGTTATTAAAAATTTGTTTGTTTTTTAAGGACAACCTATTGTGAAATGGATTTCTTAAGTAAACGCAGTACCATCAATCAAAATCTAGAACAATTAATTGTGGATATTCCCACGTATATATTGATAATGGAAAATCTGGCAGATCGCTTGGAAGAGAAACTGGGCTGGAAGGAATTTAAATTTTGTTTTAAATTGGCAACGTCACAAATTGTAAGTTTATCCACAACATGTTTAAATGTTACATGAATACCATGAATTAATTTATGTTCGTTTTTTACAGAATGGAGTTATAGTGAAAATATTTGATCATAAATCCGCATTGAAGGATGCCATGAGTCAGGTATTACAAAATACATACTTTCACGTACCAATATAAATGATGACTTTTATTTTGTATTTTAGATTTGCAAATTAGTGCAAAAACAGGAATTCACCCATACCCTTATAGAGCTGGGCCTTCTAGAGCCATCAAATATTCTGGAGAGTGAATTGAAAACATTACAAAGTGAAGATACATTTGAGCTGACTTTGGATCCATTGGTAATGGAACGTACACATGATTATGACTACAATAGTGTCAAGGTATGTGTGACACTTAACCATAACTGACATTTGTATACCCTTCACTACACTGTGTTACATGGTATTATGTCTTTGTGCATATTTTTGTAACAGGCAATAGGAAACGCAATAGACCCATGGTTCCTTTTGAGAATATGCATAGAATCATTTTCTGAGTCGATTTATGCATGTCCATCCGTCCGTCTGTAAATGTTGAATTGTAAACAAAGTACAGGTCGCATTTGTGATCCGATTTGGATGAAATTTGGCACAATTCACTTATTTGGCCCAAGGACAAAACCACGTTTAGGCATAGCTCCCATATAAGGGTACCCCCCAATTTTCGGTATTTTGAGGTTCTTTAGCGCGTTTTTTAACTGAATTCGCTGAAATTTGGTACTTTAAGTTCTTATTGGGTAGCAAATCTACTTACTAAAAATTATAAATATAGGTCCATTTTTTCGGATAGCCCCCATATAAGGGTACCCCAGTTTTCTGTATTTTGTGGTTCTTGGGCTCGTTTTATAACTGAATTCTCTGAAATTTTGTATATTGGGTTCTTATTGTGTACCAAATTACTCCACTAAAAATTATATATAGGTCCAGTTTTTCTGGTAGTCGCCATATAACGGTACCCTCAATATTTTTGGTTTTGCCCCCTTTTAGGGGTAGTCACTGTGGTACAGGGTATTGTGTCGTTGTGCATATCGAGATAGACCCATGGTTCCTTTTGAGAATATGCATAGAATCACTTTCTGAGTCGATTTATGCATGTCCGTCTGTCCGTCCGTCCATGTATTTTTGGAGCACCATACTGCCAATATTTATCCGATTGAGACAAAATTTTGCACAGCATACTAAATTAGGTCATTGATGAATGCGAAGTTTTGAAATCGGTTCAGATTTAGATATAGCTCCCATATATAGTTTCTTCCGATTTAAAGTAAATTGTGCACCAAACTCCCAATATTGGTCCGATTGAAGCAAAATTTTGCACATAGTACTGAATTAGGTCCCGACTGATGTATGCGAAATTTCTATATCTTCAGGATGTTGTAGATATTAATATGTGTTGCATGAACCCATAGTGGTGAAGGGTATCATATAGTCAGCCCCTTCCGACTTTTGAACTTTCCTTACTGGTTTTTGGAAGTCGAAGTTCTCCCATCGAAATACATTTTCCGAGTCCTAAAGGTCAAGGTATTGCAAATGGAATATATTAGACTGGGAAAAAAGAAATCCACCATTTGTATATGAAATTTAGGACCTTATTTAACATGCTTCGGAATGTCCGATTTGGGCCAACTTCATAATGTTTCTCTCATAGATATCAATCCTCCCTAGATACCAATTTTTTAGCATTGAGGACATTTTGCAATCCAAGAAAAAGATGATAATCGCTTGGTGCTATGTCCGGACTGTATGGCGGATGCATTAAAACTTCCCAACCAAGCTCCCGCAGTTTATGGCGAGTCACTGAAGATGTGCGGAACACGACACCTCTTCTGTTGGCCAATTCTGGCCATTTGCTATATTCAAACGGTCCAATTGTTGACAGTAGAGATCAGAATAGAGCGTTTGGACATATAGAAGCAAACCATAGTAAATAATCCCCTTACAGTCCCACCAATTGCATAGCAGAACCTTTCTGTCCGTTAGTCCTGGTTTGGCCACCGTTTGAGGTACTTTACCGCTCTTTGACCACGATCGTTTTCGCACAGGGTTATCGTATGTGATCCATTCTCATCTCCAGTCACCATCAAATTAAGAAATGGGTCTATCCCATTCCGTTTGACCAAGGCTTCGCAGATGAAAATTAGATCCTTCCTATTTATACCCTTCATCACACTGTGGTACAGGGTATTAAGTCTTTGTGCATATGTTTGTAACAGGCAACGGGAAACGAGATAGACACATGGCTCCTTTTGAGAATATGCATAGAATCATTTTCTGAGTCAATTTACGCATATCCGTCTGTCCGACCATGTATTTTTGTGAACAAAGTACAGGTCGCATTTATGTTCCGATTTGGATGAAATTTGGCATATGTCACTTATTTGGCCTAAGGACGAACCCTATATGTGTGCTTTTTGTGTGAATCGGTTTTGTGAAAATCGGTTCAGATTTAGATATAGAACCCATATATATATCTTTTCCTCCGATTTTATGTAAATGGTGCACCAAAGCCCCTATATATCTTTCGATTTGCACGACATTTGATACAGCGTTCTAAATTAAGTCCGCAGTGATATGTACTAAGTTTCGTGAAAATCGGTTCAGATTTAGGTATAGGTCCCATATGTAGTTTCGTCCAACTTTTTGTAAATGGTGCACCAAAGTCCCTATATATCGTTCGATTTGCACGATATTTGGCACAGCGTAATGAATTAGGCCTAGAATGATGTCTGCTAAGTTTCGTGAAAATCGGTTTAGATTTAGATATATCTCCTATATATATTTTCGTCCGATTTTATAAAAATGTTGCACCAAAGTCCCTATATATCTTTCGATTTGCCTGAAATGTGGCATGGTGTACTGAATTCAGTCTATAATAATGTGTGCTAAGTGTCGTAAAAATCGGTTCAGATTTAGATATAGCTCCCATATATATTATTTCGTCCGATTTTATGTAAATGATGCTCCAAAGTTCCTATATATCTTTCGATTTGCACGAAATTTGGCATAGTATACTGAATTGGGTCTAGAATGATGTCTGCTAAGCTTCTTGAAAATCGGTTCAGATTTAGATATAGCTACCATATATATTTTTGACCGGTTTAATGTAAATGGTGCACCACAGTCCTTCTACATCTTTCGATTTACACGAAATTTCGCTGACACAGCTTTTTTATATATTTCAAATGGGTGTCTGATTGAGATTAAATATTGAATAGTACACTAAATCGACTTACATAAATTTGTCCCATTGTACGCAAACGGTTCCGAACTTGCCCAAATGAAATGAAATTTAGCATAGGTTCCACAATTGCATAAAGATCGCATATTCAAGTTCGTTCAATTTCATGTCAATATTCTATTGAAAAGGCGACGTGTGTTAGGAGAAATATGTGGAACATACCCATATGGTCGGCTCAGTCCGACTTTACTACTTTCTTTACTGGTTTTTTATGAAAATTAATTATTAATTAATTTGTGCAATAGCTTTTTTAAGACTAATGAGATTTTTGTTTAATTTCCTTATCCCTTTCTTGACTTTTCTTACAGTTAAATCTAATTCGCCACCTGTGTGAACCTCCCATAGCAGCCAGTAGTAATCTATCAAAAAATGCTTTACGTCTTCTGCACTCTGCTCAATTATCGGATATGGAATTTGAAGTTCATATGTATGCACCACAGCAACAGGAAGCACAGCCTGCAGGACTTAATGGCATAAATAATAAAAATGATATCGATATACAGCTGATGGCATCACATAAATCATCAATACAGGTGCATACTTTTAGGGCGCATCGTGTTATTGTGGCAGCACGATGTGAATGGTTTAAGAAGGCCCTAATGTCCGGCATGCAAGAGAGCTTGACGAGGTAATTCAGACATATTTGCTAATTATAAAATATGGAAAATAAAAAAAAATGTTTTTTTAGAAAAATCATTGTCACCGATTGTTCTCCGGTCATTTTCCGACGCCTATTGTTGTATCTATATGGTGCTCCAATTGACAAGACTGTGGGTCCTGAACATATCTGTGAATTAATGCTACTGGCAGATAAATATTCCATAGATGACTTAAAGGTACTTTTAAATAATATTTCAACTATAATTGAATTGTATTAATAATATATGATTTGTTCCACAACCTGCAAGAATGTACAATTTTTTAATACGATAAAAATTTTTCCTTTATGATATCGGAAAAAATAGTAAAAATTAGTAGATTCTTGCAGTACGGGAACAGAATGATAAAAAGCTATAAAATTTTAATAATATTGTTTTCATTTTTTCAGGAATTGTGTGAAAATACTTTAAATTCTCAAATAGATGAACATTCGGTATTATGCCTGTTGGGTATTGCCGATCATTATATGGCCTCGGCATTAAAATCCAAGTGTCTTTCATTTCTATCACAAAATTCACATTTAACAAAGGCTGCTATGTTTAAGGAATTGTCACGGCCGTTGCAAGTAAGTGATGAGTCATTTTCTTAAAAAAATATCAGTGGCGTAGTGATGTGGGGATGTTTTAGAAATGCGTGAAAAACAATTAAAAATGACTTTATGCGATGTAAGTGAAAAATATCAATGAGGTATAAACGGAGTTTTGCATCATTGCCGAATACATTCAGTTTCGCTTATATTTAATTCTAAGCTTTATTAGAAAACCCATAATATTGGTATTATTTGAAAGTGTTTAATAAGTGAAACTCTTAAAAAACTCATCATATTTATTTATATATTGTAGTCATCCCCACAAACAGTTTGTTGTTACGCTCCTGAAAAAACTATCTTTTTACAATTTTGTATATTAATGTGTTTCCATTTTTCAGCTCGAAGTTATGGACCTAATCCATTGGTATGGTCGTGTATCTGAACCATGGTCAGATACGGGTGGCTTCAAACCGCGCAGTACTTCCCGACACAGTCTCAAGAGCCCTTCAAAGCCCCGTTCACGTTCTAGAAAATCATCACCATCCTTTATGTGACACTGACTTTTAAGGCTTAGGGGAAATTAAATTTAAGATAACCGAATAATAGAAATCAAAGCGCGATATTCTAGATAATTTTTTGAAATTAATTGTAAGTGGAGTGACGGCAGGATTGGAACACTTGTAAAGCGTGAAGATTAAACATTCAGTAAGTAACTTTCTTTGCATACGAACAAAATACTTTTATTCACTCAGCCTAATGGCTAATGAGAGTATACACACTTTGATACGGCAAAAAATGTGCCGCACTGATATATTGATTTTAGACCCCATATTACTTTGAACCAAATCCGTTTCAAAAAATTTGAAATCGATTTAAAAATTGCCGTTCATTTGTCGGGTCAGATGGTGTGCAAAATAACAGCGTAATATTTATTTTAAACTTAGTTCAAGTTCGATGATGGAAATATCGGTCCATTCCTTCTGGTACGCCCTCCACAAAATGGTTAACATTTTGCTAAAATTTGTTTTTATAATATCATGCGAACGGACTATCCGATTTGAACAAAAACATTGTATAAACTATTACTTTTACCAAGCCTAGATTAAGTCCGAAGATGGGACCCATTGGTCCACTCTTTCTGGTAATTCCCCCACAAGTGGACAAAATTTTCAATATTTTTTAATGATTCTTAATGATTATCCGTAAACTGAAAAAATATCAGAAAGTGTTCTTACAGAAGACAAATATATATGCTTACAGAAGACCAAGAGGGTTTCCAAATGACCAGAAAAGCTACTGCCTTCTTAAAAGCCAAAACATCGAAAAAATTACTTCTAAGAGACTTCCAAAAATACTTTTTCTAGAAGATCTTCTCATAGTATTCCAAAAATTCCTTCTCATAGATGACCTAAAAGTTTTCATTGAGGACCAAAACGTCTGCGTATAGGTTACCAAAACGTCTTCACATAGAAGACTACAACGTATTCTCATAGAAGAGCAAGAGCTCTTCTAATTGAATGCCAAGAAGTCTTCTAATTGGAGACCAAGAAGTCTTCTAATTGGAGACCAAAATATCTTATTATAGAAGATCAAAAGATCTTCTCAGAAAAGACCACAAAGTCTTCACATAGAAGACCAAAAGTCCATTTCATAGAATACCAAAATGCCCTCTCGCAGAAGACCAAAAAGTCTTCACATAGAAGACCAAAAGTTTATCTAATTGAAGACCAAAATATTTCATAGAAGATAGAAGGCTTCTCATAGAAAATCTAAAGGTCTACTCATAGAAGGTCTGCTCACAGAAGACCAAAAAGTCTTTCATAGAAGACCAATAAGTCTACTCATAGAAGACCAAAATGTTTCCTCATAGAAGACCAAAAGGCCTCCTCATAGAAGACCATAAGGTCTACTATTCTATGAGATCTGATGGTCTTCTCATAGAAGTCCTAAAGGTCTACTCATAGAAAACCAAACGGTCTTCTCACAGAAGACCAAAAAGTCTTCTCATAGAATTTCAAAATATCTACTCATAGAAGATTAAAATGTCTTCTCATAGAAGACCAAAATGTCTACACATAGAAGACCTAAAGGTCTCCTCATAGAATACCAAAAGGTCTTCTCTGGTGTTCTATGAGTTGACCTTTATGAGAAGAGCTTCTATAAGAAGACTTTTTGATCTCCTTTGAGATCTTTTGGTCTTATCATAGAAAACCTAAAGATGTACTAATAAAGGTTTACTCTTCTATGAAATCTTTTGGTCTTCTCATACAAGAAAAAGCTAAGAAAAAGAAAACCCCCTAATGTGGACGACCCCCGCAAACGTATAAAGGACCACGATTTGCGAATCTGCACTTGGAATATGCGCACGTTGTACAGAACAGGCGCAGTGTTCGCTTTGGCGGATGTACTCAAGAAGTACAAAGCCGATATTATTGCCTTACAGGAAATGCGATGGAAAGGGACAGGCGTAAGTAAATTAGACGATTACGCCCTGTATTATTGCTGCCATGAAAGGAGACATGAATTTGGCTGCGGATTTATGGTTAACAGGAGAATAAAATACCTTGTCTCCAGATTCACTACAGTAGATGAGCAAATTGCTATAATCCGTATAAAAGCGAAGTTCTTCTACATCAGTCTCATTTGCGCCCAAAGATACCGACCGAAGATAAATATGAACAGGCCAAAGACATATTTTACGAGCGCCTAGAAACAGCATATGACCGTTGCCCTGGCCATGACATTAACATTCTGCTTGGAGATTTTAATGCAAAAATCGGAAGGGGAAATATCTTTGGCCCCACCGTCGGAAAATTCAGCCTTCATGAAGAAACATCCGACAACGGCATGAGGTTGATTGACTTCGCGGCAACAAAATAACATGGTAGTTAGCAGCACCAGATTCAAGCATCTCGATATACACAAGGCCACCTGGATCTCTCCTGATCAAGCAACGAGAAATCAAATTGATCATGTTGGTATAGACGGAAGGCATTCATCCAGTGTTTTAGACGTCCGATCGATCCGAGGAGCGAATACCGATTCGGACCATTGACTTGTGGCAGCCAAGGTACGCACCCGTCTTAATGTAGCAGCAAAGGTGCGATCTAACACAACACGGAAACTCGACGTCGAAAAGCTGCAAACACAACAGGTAGCAAAGGCCTACCCAACAACTTACCCAACAGCTTGAAGAAAGCACTTCTTGTCCCGCTTCTATACTAGAAGCACAATGGCACAGAATTGCCAACTCCCTACAAACTGTAGCAAAAGCAAAGATTGAAGCCAATGGTCAATGACATCATCGGACCATACCAATGCGGCTTCAGACCTGACAAATCCACCATTGACCAAATTTTCACACTGCGCCAAATCCTGGAAAAGACCCACGAAAAACACATCGACACATACCACATATTTGTCAACTATAAAGGTGACAGTTTGTCGAGACGCAAAGGTGAACAGAAATGGCACTCTGTACACCAAACAACACATGTTACTCGCCGACGCCGAGGACATCGACATAATGGGTCGAACATTGCGAGCGGTAACAGCCACCTTTGAACAAATTGAAAAGGAGTCTGCCAAAGTGGGCCTGGCAGTAAACGGCGAGAAGACCAAGCTAATGGTATCAACGCGCGGGACGTCTAGTAGACTCGGAGCAACTGTGGAACTTGAGAACTACAGCTTCGAGGTAGTTAAAGACTTTATATACCTTGGTACCGCCATAATTAAAACGAATGACATCAGCTTTGAAATTCGGAGAAGGATTGTGATGGTCAACAGATGCTACTATTGTCTAAGTAAGCGGTTTAGAAACAATTCCACCTCCGTCAGACCAAACTCACACTTTACAAGACGCTGATACTACCAGTGCTATTATATGGATCAGAAGCATGGGTACTTTCGCAAGCAGATGAGGCAGCTCTTGGGGTTTTTGAAAGAAAAATTCTCCGAAAGATCTACGGGCCGATCTGCGTCGACGGTGAATATCGACGTCGAATGAACCACGAGCTTTACAATGTATACGAGGACATCGACATAATCAGCCGTATTGAGCTGCTCGACTACGGTGGCTAGGCCATGTTGTGCGGATGAATGAGAATGTCCAGCTCAAAAGGCATATAAAAACGAGCCTACTGGGGAAGGCCACGAATTAGATGGAAAGACCAAGTAGAAAACAGCATCATGGAACGTGATCTTCCAAATTGGTGGATATGCGCACAAGACCGACGCGCTTGGAAATCTTTTTAAGCTCGGCTTTTGGAACAAATGTTCTGTAACAAGCCAGCTAAGTAAGTAAGGATTTCATACGCCAGAACTTGATTTTGGACAACACATATCAAAAGAAAAATCTTAAAATTTCGATTTTTTGGTATAATTATAAGCTTTCGAATATAGGGAAGAGGACACAAAATGTGTACAGTACTAATATCTAAATCGCTTCGTATTCGAATTGTATTTTTGATTCTTGTAAAAAAGAATATAGAGAATAATTTAAAATTATTTTTCCGTCGATTTAGCATTCAGTTTTCTTTTTATTGGACTTTATTTTTTCAGAAAGAAAGTACTGTATCTCCCGAATGGCAAGGATGTAGCAATGTCAATGTTTTGTTCATATCCTATTTAGACTACTTGCATTAAATCTGTGAACAAAAAATTGTTCTATGATTACGGAAAAAAATCGGTGCTTTAAAGCTTCCTGCGTATATTTCGTTTTACAAGTACCCCAATCATGCTCCCACCCCATAATATGGAATGTTTACAGGTTTTTTTCAGATAAAGCAATTGTTTTGGAACATGTTTTTTCGAATTATGTTTATGATGGATGTTATATTTCAAAATGAGAATGAAAAATTAAATTAAATAAGACACAAAATACCTAATAATATTTTAAATAGATGACAACAAATTACTAAATGTAATTAAAAAATACAAATTATATATTTTACAAAAAAAAGATTTAAAAATAGAAAAAAATATATCACAACTCTCACAAAACTAAAAAAAAACAACAACAAATCATTGTTCATGCTGCACTGTTTTCTTTAGGTTTTAAAGCAACAACAACAACAAAACAGCAATTATGAAAAAAATATTTGAAACTAAATAGCAATCATTAAACATCCCTCCTATAAAAAAGCAACACAAAATAATAATAAAAAAAATCAAAAGCTCACACAGAAAAACATACATATCCAAGCAAAACGATTTTTTCGCCTATAATTAATGTACCTTAAATTTGAAAAGTTTTTTCTTTAACTTAAATACAAAAAAAAACTAGAACAATTATTTTATTTTTTAATTAACGAAAAAATTTATTCATTACAAAGTGAAACTAATCACTTACATATATAACATATACATACATATATTTTTCGGTGTCACTTTTATTGTTATTTGTATTTTTCAAATTCAAAACTTTCTTCGTAACGAAATAAAAAAAAACAAACAAAATCAAACTCAAAAATCATTGTCGTTTTCAATCATATTTGTTTTGAATATTGTTTTCCAATTTTAAATCAAATTGAATAGTAAAAATTAAAAACCTAAATAAATAAATAATTTTAGGTGTATTTA